TGTGTAAAGACTATAACAACTGAATAAACTATGGAATGGGACAACAAAACTACAAAAATTAGATTTCTAAGAGCAAGCATCTTTCCCATTGCAACATACGCCTGTGAGACCTTGACACTTACTAAACAAGCTGAACAGAGCATAAATGCCTTTGAATATAAATGTTATAGATGGGTTCTAATAATATCACGAATGAAGAAAAGAACAAATGCATCCATACTTCAAGAACTGAATATTGAAGAAGGTATGCTATTAAAGACGATAAAACACAGAAAGTTTAAATATTTTGGTCACTTGAAACGTCACGAAAGTTTGGAGAGAACAATAATGGAAGGGTATATGTCTGGGAAGAGAGGAAGAGGAAGGCCAAAGAGAAGATGGGTACAGGATGTGACAGATGATCTCCAGATGGGTGTATCGGACGCAGGACATCTTGCTTATGATCGAGAAGTTTTCTGGAGGGTTGTTATGGGAGCCAGGTTCTGCAATGGACATGCTACTGACTGACTGAAGACGTATTTAGCTGAAACATCGCAACTTTTGCCATATCCTGTCTTGCCTTGATCTCGTTGGTACAGCTGCCATCGTTGCATATGTGGGCGTTAAGATATTTAAAGGTTTCAGCTTCTGTCCCCTCCCCGTTCTATCCGTATGTTGGTAGGTACGTGATTATTGTGACTATTTACCAGTCTTGCTTTTCTCGTCACTAATTTACTTGCCCTATTTGCTAGAGACTCTAATTTTGTAGTAAGTTCTTGGAGTTATATTTTGGAACCAGCCATGAGATCAATGTCGAACAGTTCCTTTAGTTACTTGACAACCTATACCAAATACATTTCAAAGCAGAAACATTGAGTTTTTACCGGGAGGCAAATGTGGTGAACTACACCTGATGTTGCAGCAAGGCCAGGGTTCGTACTAGTCGAGATCTGTCCACATCTTTTCAGTCATCCTAGAAACAGGATCTCATCTGGGGCTTCTGGCCAACATCGATAGGGTTGTCATTTTTTTCGAAGGCGGAGTTCATCGGCCTGAGATAAAGGAACCAACAGTTTGCACACAAATGAACCAGATCTGTTAAACGGATGTACGTGCAATATTCAAGTTTTGGAATGAGGCCAAAATGCAGAAGTGGACGAATTACCAGGACTTACTGCCTGAGCTTACAGCCGGAAACGCTAATAAAAACACGAAGAGTGCTGCTTCACGATGTAACCTTTTACTTATCACATAAACAAGTTACCGTATGTCAACTGTAACTCATATATGATCAAATAATTTCTTCATTTGAAGTATGATATATTATGCAGCCACACATGTTTCACTGCTCACTTTGGACAAAAAGCACTTATAGTTATGTTTTCATCTGTGGAAAATTTCAACAAAATCCCCCCCCCCTAAAAAAAGTAAAGGACCCTTTTCCAGATAGATAATGCTAGACCAATATTTGATAGACCAATCGGTACTTGGTGGGTGATGTGGTTTACATTACGTAGAACGCTTTTACTTCCCAGGACTTCACCTGGTACCCACTCAAGGCAGGGTAAACCTGGGAGCCAAAGTCATTTTTGAAGAAAGCCCTGTACCACCAGGCCCTGAACCCACAACCTTTTGATCCGCATGCGAGGATAAAAATGTTCATACATGATGCAATCTGTTATGTTTAGTGGCAGACATTACCTTTGGAGTAAAAAAAAAGGGGTTCGGGGTGAGGGGTGGGGGACTGAGTGGTCTCAAGGCATGGTGTCCACCTCTTGGCAGTTGGAAATCGAAAAGAATACCCTAACGGCGCTGCCCGGGCAAAATTAAGAGTTAAAAATCTACCCAATGTATTTCAGGATCATCACCGGTGCTACAGAGCCAGTGCACTGTTCTGAGCCTCTTCGGACTCAGATTTGAGTTGGAAGAAGAACGGAGCACTTATGGGATACTATTTGTGTGCTTGATGTTGATCCGTTGTTAAAATCTCTGGAGTGTAAAGGGTCTCAGTATTCTGGACAATGACACACTTTAGGATCCACAGTGTTGTAGCGGCTAAATGCTGACCTACCGACCCAACGTCAATGGTTCACACTCACATAAAGGTGGATTTTGTCCAAATTGAACTTGGCTTTCCGGTTGATCCAACCCAGTTATGTACCGTGTAATGTCCTGGAAAGTAAAGGCGACCGGCGTGATGCTGACCACATCACCCATCAAGTGTGGATTGGTCTATACAAATTTATGTCTAGCTCTTTATGCCTAATGCAACAAATACATGAAAAATGTCTTTCAAGTATTTACTTTACCTTTACGGCACGCTGAGATGATCTCTCTCTCTCTCTCTCTCTCTCTCTCTCTCTCTCTCTCTCTCTCTCTCTCTCTCTCTCTCTTGTTGTACCCGACCAGGACATCCTACAAGTGATAAACACCCGGTGACACAAAGTGCCACCATGCGGATGAGGATCACCCGTAGAGAGGTCCCCAAACTCCTTTCAGCCGTTAGGCCATATTTATGGCCCGGCTATAGTCAGGGCCCCCGGAAAAAGCCAGGATGGAGTTCAAATAACAAACAGTTGCATATCATATGGGGACTTATGTGATCAGTTCTCTTTCCCAACATTTGTGAACATTTTTGGTATCAAATTGTTTAGTCTTGAGTTTTCCATAGGCAGCTGCTGATTTATCATTCTCGTTTGTTTCCTGGCATATGTGGAATTATTATGGCACTCATCTTTTCCCACACTAATCGGAGAAACCCAGACACATGATTCACTGTTCCCCTAAATAATATACTTTTCGTCCTTCTTAGGACGTTATTTTTTGTTATTTGAAGCCCCACTCTGGCTTTTGCCAGGGGCCGCAATATAGGCAGGTCATCATTATGGCCAAATGTCTGAACGCGGTTTCTGGGACCTCTCCACGGTGATCCTCATCCGCATGGTGGCACTTTGTGTCATCGGGTGTTTATCGCTTGTGTGATGTCCTGGTGGGGTAAAAAATCCAATCCAATCCACTGTTCCCCTATAAGTGGAGAGCACGCCATCATCGGGTTCTTACATAAAAAAAAAAAAAATCCTTACCATGATTCAAATGTCTCAGCCTACTGGGAGTCGCCGTGGAGTAGCGGCTAGACACTCGCGTGCGGATAGGAAGGTTGTGGGTTCGCTCCCTGGTGGAGCCAGACTATTTTTCAAAATGACCTTGACTCCCAGGTCGACCTAGCTTTGAGTGGGTACCAGATGCAGTCCCGGGAAGTAAAGGCGACCAGCGTGATGCTGACCTCATCACCTATCTTGTTCCGATTGGTCTATACAAATATAGGTCTAGCCCTATATGCCTAAAGGCGTGGAAAAGGGACCTTTACCTAATTTTTTTACTTTTACTCAGCTTACTGAAATCTCCTTCATACAGAACTTTCCACACTTTTCTTGTAAAAACACATTCTTAAGATAAATCTAATTTTGAACTTTAGTAATTGAATCTAGTAGCATGTTAACCCCTTGTATGTGATATGAACACATAGGTAAATAACTTTGGGAACACAGATTCACGCTGCAAACGACACGCTAATACAGAGTTATTTAACTGGTGGCCTGCGAGTCGAATCTGACCTGCAGAGAATTAGTAAGTGGCCGCGAATCACTTGCCAGTTGTAGTGTTTTAATGATTTTATATACTGGGGCTGGTCCTCTGGTCTATGACGATTCTCATTTTCCAACATTTGGCTCCTGAGTAAACTTAGTTGAATGGCCCAGCTTAATGTATCATAAGACACTGTTTTAAAAGCTCTCATTCCACTCTCCTTAGACTATTACTTTTTCCTAATTGTCAAATATGACCAGTAGTCTAACTTCACAGTGGATGTATTACTACAAAACTTCCCTTTAAATATTCAAATGACAGAATGATTAATTTTTTTGAATATTTAGTGACATATTTTGGCGTGTGAAAGTATCTGTTTTGTTGACAATGGACAGATCTTCTTTTGAAGGGAAACTTGTTACAGTTTAGCAGCAGAAATGAATTATATTGACCATAATAACACGCAAGAGTAGTCAACCTTTGTACAGTCCACACTTATCTGACTTATCTCCTTCTCTGGGCTCCTGCCTGAAGGTTTAACACCTAAACAGCTGCATCACGGTGATGGTGGTGGTGGTGGTGGTGATGGTGATGGTGGTGGTGATGATGGTGGTGATGGTGGTGGTGGTGATGGTGGTGATGGTGGTGATGGTGGTGGTGATGGTGGTGGTGAGAGGATCGACTTCCCTGCACAGGGCTTTATCCCAGATTGCTCAGTCTCTCAGCTAGCTGCCTGCCAAGAACGCCGTACAGAGCACGACCTCTGTAGCTCCGGCGACGATCCCCAGGGATTTCCTCTACAATTGCACTTGTGAACTGAACGCTTCAGCCGTGAAATGTACCCATGACTTTCAAACCGGGAGGCAAATAGCTCGACCATTTCGCCACAGAGACCCCTAATAACAGCCCACAAATAAATGGCGACGATCTGAGAGACTGGCGTCTTGGAGAGGTCCGACTTCTGACAACCTGGCCAGCTAGTCATACAAAGGCTAGATCTAATTTGTAGATTCTTTCCTCCACAATCTATTGGGCAAGACACAGCATCAAAGATGTTAATTCAACAGTTTAAAACTCAAAATGGCGATACAAAGTTTTACTCTGTTGTCCTAGAGATAAAGAGCTTGTTGTTAGCACTTGTTGACATCACAGTATAAAGTCATTATCTTATAGCAGGTCCATTGCAGAACATTATTGTCATCGTTGTCTGCCAACCCAAGAGGGTCACTTATATCCAATACCTATCTTTGTGCTGGTCGGCCCCTGCCCCCTTTTCCTAGCACCATACCTTCTGCTATTTTTTTTCCAATTGGCCTCGACGGTTGAAATGGCACAAATATTTCAGTTTTCAAGATAATACATATGTAATATATAATACATGACACATTCTCAAACAAAAACATGCATAAATTCTTCTCTGTTTGTGTTGGCTGAAATCATTCTTGAGGAAACTGTACATCTTTGGCAATAGGGCTGAGTAACAACAGGAAGACTGTAGTCAGTGAGGTAATGACAACAAACAGCCAGAAAAATAGTTTATCCAAAACTCTGGCCACTTCCTGCCATTCCAAAATGGCTATACGTTCTCCATGACCTTTGTCATAAGCTTCTAAAACAGCTTTTAAGTAGTGTAGAATCTGAGACTCCATCGCGGTGCGCTTGCTTTCTCTACTCTGTCTCAAGCCAGAGCTGCTTTGTGGGGCAGCATTTGTATCCACTGAGCCGTTACATTTAGGGCCAATGGAAGTTTGAGGTATGGATGTAGTCTGAGTGGTTAAAGGTGTAGAGTTTCGCTTAATACGAGTTTTTAAAGAATAAGGCGGCATGCTGTGGCAGTGCCAGTTAGTGGACGCCTGTGTGGCAGAAGTGTCGGCAGCCCAGTGGTATCTGCTGTTGTTGTTGGCATTGTAGTTACTGTTCAAGTAAGTGAGTCTCACACAAAAGCACCGGGCAACGAATAATGACAACATCTTGACAACTTTAGGAGGTCTGTGCAGGTTGGTTCCTCTGTGATGACAGTTGAGAACAAAGACAGACAGTGCCACAGACAGAGCTGACATGGCCATGATCACAGTCAGGTAAATGCCTGCAAGTGATCAGAAAATGTGTTAGTATTTTTCAAGATTTGAAAAACATATGAGTCAGAGAATATGTATTTTGTTAGAATGCTAAGAGATGAATGACAATATGTACTCCGGTTGTATGTCTACACACAAAAGATAAATGACTACAGGTATTTCATTTGAATGTTTACAGAAAAGACATGGATGACAATATATAATACACTGTTAGAATGTCTACAGATGAGAGAGGAATGGCAATAGGTACTCCGTTTAAATGTCTACAGAAGAGATATGAATGACAACATATAGTACACTGTCAGAATGTCTACGATTTGAGATAAATGAAAAAATATAATAAAATGTTGACAGATGAGAGATGAATGACAATGTGTAACAGAATATCTACAGATGAGAGATGAATGGCAATATATAATAGAATGTCTACAGATGAGAGATGAAAAACAATATATAATATTTTATACACAACAGATGAGAGATGAATAACAATATATAATACGCTGTCATAATGTCTATAGATAGAAGATAAATGACAATATATAATACACTCTCAGAATGTCTACGAATGAGAGATGAATGACAATATATAATAGATTGTCTACAGATGAGAGATGAATAACAATATATAATAAATTATACACAACAGATGAGAGATGAATAACAATATATAATACACTGTCAGAATGTCTACGGATGAGAGATGAATGGCAATATATAATAGATTGTCTACAGATGAGAGATGAATGACTGTGTATAATAGAATAACTACAGATGAGAGATAAATGACAATATAAAATATACACAACAGATGAGAGATAAATTACAATTTATAATACACTGTCAGAATGTCTACAGATAAATGATAAATTACAATATATATAATACACTGTCATAATGTCTACAGATAAATGATAAATTACAATATATAATACACCGTCAGAGTGTCTAGAGGTGAGAGATGAAGGGAAATATACAATACACTGTCACGATGTGTAGAGATGTATGATGAATGACAAAATACATCAACAGATGAGAAATGAATGACTATATAATACCGTCAGTATGTTTATTTATGATATATACATGACAATATAATACACTGTCAGAATGTCTACGGATGAGAGATGAATGACTATAAAATACACTGTCAGAATGTCTACGGATGAGAGATGAATGACTATAAAATACACTGTCAGAATGTCTACGGATGAGAGATGAATGACTATAAAATACACTGTCAAAATGTCTACGGATGAGAGATTAATGACTTTGAAATACACTGTCAGAATGGGATTCATAGATGAATGACAATATATACAATAAATGAGAGATGAATGACAATATGTACAACAAATGAGAGATAAATGACAATAAATAATAGACAGTCATAATATCTACAAATGAGAGATGAATGAAAACATTTAATACACTGTCAGAATGTCTTTAAATGAGAGAGGAATGAGTATCAGAGTTTTATGTATCGGCTCTGCATTTATGGAAGTTCCCTTGACTGGGACAATGACCACATTCTGCACCTGCCTACTGTCGAGGGTTGATTAGGATGTATACTGCTGTCCTAGATAGGTTCCACTGCTGGGAGAAAAAGAAAGGGGGGGGGGGGGTGTGGGTTGGCACTATCTGTAGGATACATGGCAAAGATAACGGCATTTCGGGCAACGGCGGAGACCAAGATGAGGTAGAGGACGGAAGAATAAGACTTTCTTTCACTATGCCGGGCAATTCAATCTAGTGTTCTATAAAACAACATCTCTACCGCTTGCACGTCACTTCTCACTACCTGGTGAATGTCATGATTCCCTTTCACCAGGACTAAAACTGTATAGCTATGAACAGGCAATAATATATATCGTACCACAGTATTTCAGAATTATTTACCAACCATTTTCACAAGAATCTAATCACCCCGTCTGGAATATAATTTGACAACCCACAAGGCGGCTAGGGTTGTTCAGAAATGAGGTGTCCGTAACGCTAGCTATAAGGGTTTCAACCCAAGGTTAACGAGTCTCATTGTCAGGAAACGGTCTGGTGAGTCAGTGTCTTATCAATGGTCGCTTTTTGTGAGAGCTGGGTTAGCCAGGAGAAGATCAGACTGGATTTTCTCGACTGTTGGCGACTGTACTTTGCTTATGCATTAAACTATTCTTTACCCGTGAGAGCTTATTCTAGAGTCAACCTCGAGTGTGTCGCTTTAAGGGATTCACAGCCCTTGTGATATATATTATGTGAATAAATTTATATCGATTTTATGTAGAGAGGGATAGCATTTATACATTGAGGAGAGCATCTGCGGTTTAGCAAACCTCCCCCTCCTCCCAAACCTCGGCACACTAAAGTGCTTATGATCTCTGGTATGGCAATCGATGGGATTTGATGTCGTTTTTAGACTAAATATATAGTTACGATCTTGTCTCGGAAGCTGAAATATTTAGGTCATATCAAGCGCCATGGCAGAATTGAAAAAAAAAAAAAAAGACAGCTGAAGGCGTGGTATCAGAAAAAAGGGGCAGACCATCACGAAGATGGGCACAAGATATAAGTGACTCCTTGAATGTGAAAATACACGAGTCGGGAGAGCTGGCCAGAGACCGAGTTTCTGTCAGACACATCGTGTTGAGAGCAACGTTCTGCAAAGGACCTGCTACGTGATGATGAAGACATACAGTTACCAGGTTGGATCCCAGGTAAAACTTGCTAGTGGTGACTTGGGAAGTGGTGGTGAGAGAGAGAGAGAGAGAGAGAGAGAGAGAGAGAGAGAGAGAGAGAGAGAGAGAGAGAGAGAGAGAGAGAGAGCTAGAGAGAGAGAGATAGAGAGAGAGAGAGAGAAAGAGAGATGACCAAACCACACATAGACCATGTCATGATAAAAGCCATGAACGTTAATCGGTCTTGGTTCCTTATCTTACACGATCACCAGATTTTCGGATAAGGCATGTGTTCTTGTCTCGATTATACCATCTATACCATATCACTAAGCCATCTAGGTGTCTTAACCTCATAATTTGTTTTTTAAATCCTTGTCTTCCCATTCGTTTCTCTCCATCAAGTTGGCTTTTTGTAATTTAGTTTGAAAACTAATTGTTTTCTGATAACCCACTAACAAATCTTTATTAAGTCTGATACCTCGGGAAGACTAACCAGGCCAACAAATGACTACAAAAGTCGGATGTGTCGGCCGAAAGGAGCAGATATCGCAGTCATGCTGTAAACACTCACAACGTAATTACATCTTCGGATGAAAGCAGAAGAAGAAAACGATTGTCTAATATAGTATGTATATTCAACTTAATGATTTTCCTATATGAGTTCCGGATCCCCATTGTGCAACTAATGTTTTTATGAGTTAGTCAGATAACACGCATTATTTGCCCTTTACGACATTCACGGTATTTTATTATGTTACTTATCTTTGCTTTCTCTATGGGTTCAGGTAACAGGACAAGTTGAGAGTGAACAATGTGTGTAACATAAGGGAGATGGCACCGTATAGCCAATACGCTTCAATGAATGGAAGAAGTCCTTCTTCTTAAAAAGATGGTTAGCACGTTATGTTGTGATCTACATCTAGGCTGTGATATCTGCGCTTATATGGACAAACACATCCGATTTTAGCAAACTCTTAATTAGGTGTCTGTTGCCACATGCTTGTACAAGGACAATGCAACCCCCTTCTCCCCTAACCCACGCTCCCCAGTTAGAACTTAGAACCCACATCACAAGGCGAGGATGGTCGTATCTTTACAGAAAATATCTGGAAGCAGGTATGGATTACAGAGCTGCCTCGATCGCAGGAAACTGGGAGGAAAATCAATTGCTTGTTCTAAACAAAATGCCGAATGGTTCGTTACATTCGAAGAAACTTTGAAACGTCTAAGTGCGGCTGACGGCGTACAGATACGTTATTAACATGATTTTGTTTTCTTAATGGCATGTTTGGCTTGACATGGCGGAGCTGGGCGAGTAATGCTGTGTCAGTCGTGAACTGCTCTTGCTTCAAGAAACCGGATGGTCGCAATTTTAGATGAATTAATACTAGACAGTGAATTATTCAGACTGGGAGTTGCAGCGATGCTTAAAATCACAGTCAGCAGGAATATTGTGCGAGATTAGTCTAGTCTCTAAAAAAAAAAAAAAAATAACGTTTTCGCCCCCAAGGAACGCATTATTATAAGTTCCTGTCTAGAAGCGCAATGAACTCAAGATACTCTGATTTTGAGTCTTTCGGGTCTCTGATGCTAAACCCTCTGGGACTGAAAGAGTTAACCCTTTTTCTGCCGTTAGTTAATACTTAAAACTCTCCGGTTATATGAACTGTTACATTTAAAAAAAAAATTTTCTTTTAGTTTATTTGTTTTTCTGACCGAATTGTGTCCCAACAAACTCTTACACTAACTTCTACTGTTCCAGCTATAGTTGATTATTTTCTGTAATAGCAAGGTATTATGATTACTAGTGGTGTTCTGCTTATAAGTTCATCGTTTTCTGTTTCATCAAGTTCTTCCAATCATAGAAAGAAAGAACGAACAAATGAACGAACTTTATTTTCAAAGGGTCATACATTGGGCAAGGTTTTGTTTAAGAAAAGAGGAGGAAGCAGTCACTACTGCCTCTAGCTGGCTTGAGAATCAGTTCTAAACACATGTGATAATTGTAACTGACTCACAGAGTGTGTAGTTAAAGGTGTAGTCAGGCATGTTCCGTACAGAGTAGCAAGCCCTGCTCAAGGGAAAGGCGGGACGAATGTACAATCTGACAGTTACAGGTGCCATCGGAATTGGAACTCTTCGCTTGCTGTTGAAGAAGGGGACGGAGCGCTTATGGGAGTGTCCCGACTGCTATTATGTCGTTTCTTAATTCAATATTTAGTTCCTAGCACATTGTTACACTAACCTACCTATATTGTTCAAGTTATTAGTTCTGCATTTTCTGTTCCATCAGTACGAACTAACAAATGAACGAGCCTTGTTTTCAAATACTCACGAATTGGGCAAATATATACTGCTCTAGTGATTACTTCATTATTTTTTTTTGTAGTTTCAGAACAATGTTAGAGTTTTCTACTGTTATAGTTACTAACTGCCCGTTTTCTGTGACAGTAAGTTGTAAGATCTCTATTCGATAGTCCGATAGTTTCGACTGTGCTGGTTTTTAGAAGAATCTTTTGTCTCAACAGCTTGTTTTTTCAAACGGTGTTGTTATAGTTTGCTACTAAATCGTATTATATCTTAGAAATACTGTATAATTTTGCGGAAATCCGATGTGTTGGACTAAGAGGCGCATATAAGGCGGCCCTGCTGCAGACCACAACATAATGTGCCAACCTCCCTTTAAAAAGTCAACGCAGAAAAAAAAAGAAAAATGTATACTACCAGTTGTGTTTTAGTTGTTTCTTTTCTATGCTGAGCAATAAAATGTCACACTAATTCTAGGCTTTCTAATAAAGTTATCAGCTGCGATTCTAATTTTCTGGTAAAAAGGCCACATCATAATTGCGCCGTTTCTGTGCCAATGAAAACAACACAAAAGACCTCTCACGTGTCATGTGAAAAGTCGAACAGACAACAGTTCCGCCGAAATCCAACAGATCGCAGACGTGTAAAATGTTTAAAACGGCCACCACCGGCGCCAACACTAACAATCTACCACTAGAATTGAAGTTTATTATTTATGGATAGGGTTAGTTCCACCCCCACCCTCCCTCAGAGCCCACCCAATTACACACTAGCTCACTTCTGATTGGTAGTTCCTGAGCAGCGCGTCCTTCGCACACTGCTATGGGAGTATTTCGCAATGCCATTGATATCGCATGTTGTATATTTCAGCACGCCAGCGCTTTTAACACTACGAAAACATGGACAAACTGGGTCTAACACACAACTCCCCTATAGAGTGCTGCAACCTATGTCACAGGCATTTTGTTTCTGGGAAGAAAAGTGTAAATGCAAGACAAGTCAGAAAGCAAATAACAGAACGGCATACCAGTAACTCTCCGGAAAGTAGACCAGTCCAACAGAGTTATCATTGGATCGTGACCTACTACGTTTGGGGGAGACTAACGTCGAACTAAATATGGATAGAACAGTCATGACCATACATGAACGAATGTTGATAGGAGACACGAGGTTTTATGGGATACCACGTGTAAGAATGTGACACGAGATTAGATGGAATAACACGTGTAAGAATGTGACACGAGATTAGATGGAATAACACGTGTAAGAATGTCACACGAGATTAGATGGAATCACACGTGTAAGAATGTGACACGAGATAAGATAAAATATCACGTGTAAGAACGTGACACGAGATTAGATGGAATAACACGTGTAAGAATGTGACACGAGATTAGATGGAATCACACGTGTAAGAATGTGACACGAGATTAGATGCAATAACACGTGCAAGAATGTGACACGAGATTAGATGGAATAACACGTGTAAGAATGTGACACGAGATTAGATGGAATCACACGTGTAAGAATGTGACACTAGATTAGATGAAATAACATGTGCAAGAATGTGACACGAGATTAGATGGAATAACACGTGTAAGAATGTGACACGAGATTAGATGGAATCACACGTGTAAGAATGTGACACGAGATTAGTTGAAATAACAAGTGTAAGAATGTGTGAACAAGAAATTAGGAGTGGATCCGGCAAGGACGAGCATTTGAGAGGAAGAAAATAATGTGTGTTTAATAAGTGTACTACAGAGACATTTAGCATCTACACCTTTACACATTTGCTGCGGGAGACCTAGCTTCTTTGGGTATGCCCGGTGTTCTATGATGTTGATTCTTAAATCAATAAATCAGTTATAATCTAGAACACTGGTTCTTAATCTTCCTAGAGCCGCACCTCTTTAATACAGTTCCTCATGTTGTGGTGACCCTCAACTACACAATTATTTTCGCCGCTACTTCATAACTTCAGTGAAAAGGTGTTTTTCAGTGGTTTTAGGTGACCTCTATGAAGGGGTATTTCGACTCCCAAAGGGGTCGCGACCCACAGGTTAAGAACCGCTAATGTAGAATATCATTGATTCGAGTTTGTTCGACTCTAATATTTAGGAAATACTAATTTATGTTTAGATAACTAGACACTCATTTCAAACATTAGGCATGTGCATAACCCCAAGGGAAATTGCTGTAATTCTCCTACTGTATCACAGCTCAAACCATTCACAGTCATCTACAGGCTTTGCGACTGTTACGCTATGCTCGATCTCTATTCAATAGTCCGAAAACCCTGCTGAATTGGAAATCTTCTTAAAGTCAATGCCGTGTGGCTTTGGTAGTTATGTTTATCCACAACCTCCTGTCTCGTTTACTTTCAATCAAATCTGACACAGAGGATCCCCAATGCCATTTTGTCAAACTGTCCTGCAACTTTTCTCTCTGTCTCCCTCTGCCTCTCCTCACCTTGAGCTCACCCACAGTCACTGTGCACTCCAGTTTTCTCCTGATCACATATCAAACTGGAAATAGAAAAACAAAATGTAGTAAAGGAAAATGGTTAACAAACCTATTAAAGGAATGTACTCGGACGTCGGCGGCATGTTCTCAGCAACCAGAAGCATGAAGACAGAGAAGGCTAACAGTACTGTGAGTCCAAGGGTGACTTTCTCTCCGGAGTCTGGAGGCAGCAGGAACCCAGTCAGCGACAAGCTGGATAACAACATGCAGGGGATGATCACGTTGAGGAAGTAGTACAGGACTCGCCTTCTGATCTGTTTCAGATGAGAAATTAAAGGAAAATAAAGCAACATAAGTTTACTAGCAATTCTTTGATCATATGACAATGGATTTGATTATTCTTGATTAATTCTTTACTTAGCAATTGATTGTGTGTTTAATATTGGTCAGGACTTACAAACCTCTGCATTACTCTTCTTCAGTCAAGCAGTTCGGCATACACTGCATTTTTTTTTCTCTACCTGCTACTGTTGGTTTTTCTTGACTTATTTTGTGTCAGTAACTCGCTGTAAGTTGATTACTTATATCCTAAATAATTTACAGTTAAAAGACAATTAAACTGCTTTTTTACAACAACAACACAAATGTTGCCTCGAAAAGTAGGATTAGAAAGAAATATTTAGAAATAACTAGGTGCCCAGGTACGTATATTTCCTTAGTGGAATTGAAAGGATTCCACAGGTTGCTATGAGATCAGTTGAAAAATCAGTTGAAATAAATTTTAGTATCGTCTTGTGAAGCAACAATTCACAGAAATCTGCCGCACGTGAAAACATTTTGAGATGTAGAGAATAGCCCAACTAAGAGATTGTTCGAGATGCACACACAGCGATAGGCAGAATATTTTAAAGAAATATTAAACAGACTACAACCTGACATTGTTCTCACCCTGGATGAAGAAGAAGTTACCATGCCCCCACTAGATGCCTCCTGTGAGACATTCACAATGAAACAGATGAAATCAGCCATTAAAAAATATTGGGAAACAACAAAGCTGTTGGTGATGACAACATTCCAGGAGAAATGCTAAAAGCAGCAGATGGGAAGACCTCACACCGTTTGCTAGAGCTAATTACCGAAATATGGCTCCCCAAAATCGCCACCACCACAGAGAAAAGATAGAGTGATTTTCAAACTGCCTAAAAAGGTGATTTATCTGACTAATAACTGTTAGTAAAGGTAGCTCTTTAAAAAAAAAAATTAGAGAGTTTTGAGAACAAATGTCTTAGAAGAATCCTAATTCTCCACTAGACAGATTTCAGATCCAAAATGCAAATAAAACAAGGGACCAAGCCAGACGATGTATCCAGTTTTAAAAGAAAGCGCCGCTGGAACTGCATCAGCCATGCACTCAGAATGGATAAGTCAAGACTTCCCTATCAAGCCCTCGTATGGACACTGGAAGAGAAAAGAAAACAAAGAAAGCGTAGAACCATAATCAGGGAAGGCCCAACCATTGGCCTAACAAACATTAAAGATCTAAAGCAGGTGGCAACGAACCGCTAGCCATGGAGAGCTAGAACCTCTGCCCTATGCGCCGCCCTAGGTCCAAGAGGAAAGACTAACACGCAAAATTTGATTGTTAAACCCACGAAAGAAACATTAATCAGACAACACTGAAGCGCAGGTTAGCCAAGTTGGTGAGACACAATGGCATGAATAATATTGAAAGAATATGTCGACTACATTCACAAACTGTCTGTTTCACTACGGCAACCTCAAGGTGAAGAGCATGTCTTTTTGTCTGCATAATTCTGGACTAACTGGTTAATAATCTTTTAATCAGCAATGTAAAAAAATTATAGAAACAGAAAGAACTGCATTCTTTCATAATCATCATCACAGACCATGTAGATAAGCGTTGACTTCCATGTTTCAACATCTCACACAAACGTCAGAATCAAGGATCTGTTCTGTGTTCTTCCCCCCCCCCTTTTTTTCCCCCTATATAGATAAGCCATCCAGGTATTTACCTCTTTGCCTTCCCTTTGTTCTTTTACCATCAGTCTTGCCAGTCGTTAAAAAGTTCTTTAGTCCCTTCCTTTTCGTAACATGACCGCGTTGTCCTTACCTTGATGTAAAACGTGACGTCCACATAGGGCTCCGGGCAGCAGGTGTACTGTTTGACTCGTCGGATGATCTTTGTACCCAGCAACTCCCACTCTCCGTTGTCTACGTAGTTGGACAAGTCCACGTTGTCTGACCTGTTAGTCACGTCTAC